GATAGATGGATAGATAGATGGATAGATGGATGGATAGATAGATAGATGGATAGATAGATAGATGGATATATAGATGGATGGATGGATGGATAGATGGATGGATTGATGGATAGATAGATGGATGGATAGATAGATGGATAGAGAGATGGATGGATAGATAGATGGATGGATGGATAGATAGATGATAGATGGATAGATGGATAGATAGATGGATAGATGGATGGATAGATAGATGGATAGATGGATAGATGGATGGATAGATAGATGGATAGATGGATGGATAGATGGATGGATAGATAGATGGATGGATAGATAGATGGATGGATGGATAGATGGATAGATAGATGGATGGATAGATAGATGGATGGATAGATAGATAGACAGATAGATAGATGGATGGATAGATAGATGGATGGATGGATGGATGGATAGATAGATGGATAGATAGATGGATAGATAGATGGATGGATAGATGGATGGATAGATAGATAGATAGATAGATAGATAGATGGATGGATGGATAGATAGATAGATGGATGGATAGATAGATGGATTGATAGATGGATAGATAGATAGATAGACAGACAGACAGACAGACGGATGGATGAATGGATAGATAGATGGGTAGATAGATGGATAGATGGATGGATGGATAGATAGATGGGTAGATAGATGGATAGATGGATGGATGGATGGATGGATAGATAGATAGATAGATGGATGGATGGATGGATGGATGGATGGATAGATGGATGAATGGATGAATAGATGGATAGATAGATGGATAGATGGATAGATAGATAGATAGATAGATAGATAGACAGACAGACAGACAGACGGATGGATGGATGGATAGATGGATGGATGGATGGATACTTTATTGATGTATAAGGGCTTTGTCTCGCTATGTAAAGGGATTTGTTGTGATGGTGGACATATGTGAGGTGTAGAAATATCATATCGTTGTAATAATTATTCTTAAAAAACAGATTTTGGTTAATATGCAAATACAAATGTATAGTCGACTCCTATGAGCTGATCGTCTTCCTTTACTGAATACTTTAAGTGCTCTGATTTGGCTGATATCTCTTCTTATCTTCTGATAAACTTATAATAATAAACTTGTTTCATAACTTATTTATTCCTTCATGGGTGCAGGAAAGTCCCAAAGAGAGAGTTAATATAGAGAAATATTTACTGTACTGCGTAAAAACTCCTCCAGCGTTTCTCATTAGGACCTCCCAACTCGAGGGCTTTCACTTCCCGACGCTTTGATCTAGTCCTGCAGCGGAGAACAATCTCATTTCTTATGTTATTTTCTTCTATTAACAAGAGCAGTCACTCTGCAAGTCTTCAGAAGAGTTATTTGATCTTCTGTTGAAGTAACCCCCCCCCCCCCCTCTCTTTCTTCTCCTCTCTGCTGCAACACTAGCTGAACCAATTCATTAGAAGCTCAGAAAGTCAATTATGGTAATGGTTTCCTCTGCCAGGGGAAGTGGAGACTCAGCAAAGCCAGATATACTCTTTTTATCGCACTTCTACATATTCTTCCATATATTTTATTTAGTCCTCATTTAAATGTGCAAATCGATCCTGTGAAGTGTAGAGGGCAAAAGGGCTGAAGAGGAGAGGGTGATAAAGGAGGTTCCTCTGATAGCAAGGCAGTGTCCGGAGACCAGGAATCCCTCTCTCTTATTCACGCCGAGCATCGGGGAATCTCCCTAATTATGAAGCGTGTTTCCGACACGGCTCCTGCCTGAAAGCCCCTGCTTATCCACTCCCTTCTTCTTCTTCATATCTTTTTTGGATCCCTTCGCTCTGGGGAAGCCATGTCACGCTGCATTCATCCAGACGCCTCTCCCACTGCCCCTAAATCCCTCCGCTTTCTCTCTCTCTCAAAGTGTGTGTGCAGCTGGCATGCCAGAGAGCTGGAGTTTGAATTCACTTATCATCTCATTTAGTGGCAAACGTGAGTGACAGGCAGAGAGCGCACTGAACCACTGTGCAGCCCAGACATATGTGCATGTTCAAATATGCTAAAATGAAAGTTTTGGGGACATGTATTCTCCTGTAAGGATACTTTATGTGTACTGTAAATACTTGTTTTTCAGTGAACTCTCACTGGTAATAATAATAATAATAATATATTTTATTTATAAGCGCACTTTTCATTTGCGTAAACAAAGTGCTCCAAAATTAAAAATTAAAAAAGGTGAAACAAAACAACAAAAACAATTAAAACAACATAATAAAAGCTGTGACATTCATGCCGGCATGGCATAATGAGGGGGACTTAAAAATCTAGTTAAAGGCTATTCTAAAAAGATGCATTTTTAGGCCTTTTTTGAAAGCCTCCACAGTCTGTGGTGTCCTCAGCTGGTTTGGGAGGGCCACAGTCTCGGAGCAGCGAAGCAGAAGGCTCGGTCTCCCATGGTCTTCAGTTTTGTCCTTGGTGGGATGAGGAGGTTTGCCTTTACTGAACGTAGGTTCCTCGTGGAGATTTGTGGGGTGAGCAGTTCCTTGATGTAGGAGGGAGCATTTCCATATATGCACTGATGAGTGAAGAGGGTGATTTTGTAGTCAATCCTGAGTGAGACCGGGAGCCAGTGCAGTGATTTGAGGATGGGTGTGATGTGTTCGTACTTCCGCACTCTCATCAGGATCCTAGCAGCGGTGTTTTGGATGTATTGCAGCTTCTGGATGTTCTTGCTAGGAATCCCAATGAGAAGTGCGTTACAGTAGTCCAGCCTGGAGGAGACAAAGGCGTGGACAAGCTTTTCAGCATCTGGCAGACTGAGTGTGGGGCGGAGTTTCGCAATATTTCTCAGGTGGTAGAAAGAGGTCTTGCATATTTGCTTGATGTGGGCCTCAAAGGTCAGGTGAGGATCCATTTTAACTCCCAGATTGGTAACCGTTGGTGAGAGTGGAATGTTCTGACCGGAGAAGGTGATGCTGGTGATGGCGGATGAACGGACCTGGTATATCATAGCTTGGCATCTTGCCATTATTGCATTTCTCCATGTCGTGCTTTGGGCTGTAGTTAGAGACATAGTTGGCATTTTAAAGTTTGGAAGGACTTTAATAGACAATTATTTCTCATTGGTGGAAAGCAACTCAGTAAAGTTACTTAAATACTCAATACTTAAGTACATTTTTAAGGTATTTCTACATTTCCTGAGTCTTTCCATTATATGCTTCTTCATACTTCTACTCTAAATTGGAAGAATATATTGTACTTTTTACTAAGATTAGCTACTTTGCAGGTTGATATTATAAATACATTTAAAAAAAAATACTAATGGATTATGACGTTCTTTTATGGATTACGATGGTAGAATTCAAAGTAAGTACAACTGATTTGGGATTATTCTGAAAATGGCCATGGATTTTACTTATATTTCTACACTGTGGTATTACTACTTTTACTGAAGTTAAAGTTCAAAGATTAATCTCCAACCTCTGATCTTTCTTTAAGTCAAGTCAAAGTCAGTTTTATTGTCAATGTCTACATGTGTTATACATACAGAAATCTTGAAATACCGTTTCTCGCAGTCCCACAGTGTGACCTACATAAAACAAGATACAAAAAGGGCCTAGATAAATGGGGTATAAGACTAACTAATAGTAGTAATAAGTACTAGTTAATAATACTTTTTTTTTTAAAAACACAATCCACAGAACATGAATTTACATTAATGCAAGTATTCTTTAGTGCAAATGAAAAAATGATGTTTAAAGTACAGTTTCAGTGCAGTAGCAGCGGAGATGGGTAGAAAAGTGACTGGTGCTGGATGAGGGAAGGTTGTTCAGGGAAGGTTGTTCAGCATCCTGACCGCCTGGTGGAAGAAGCTGTTCCTCAGCCTGGTGGAGCTCGAGCGGAGGCTGCAGAACCTACTTCCAAGTCTACTTGTTACGTTAAAAAAGGACTTTCTTTAAAACCTTAAGTATACTTCGAAGTGGAACCACGCATGGAGAGCTGCAGACACCACAGACTCTGGTCCTAGTGTACTTAACAGCAGATCCAGAAGGAACCGATTTGTATTTCTCCTTCACATGATGCTAACGGGACGCTATGTTGCTCTTCCAGATACATGTCTTCGCCTTCCTCTCCGGGCCCAGAGGCAGATAAAGAGTTCCCCCTCGTCACTCACCATTAGAGGGGCTACGTTGACCCGAGGCATGAAATTAAAGAGCTGAAGCCCATTGAGCTGGATAGGATCATAAATCCACTGTGAAAGAGGAAAGGAGGTTAGGAAGGAGGGATGTAGCAGTCTCGGGGACACTCAGGATGCTTTCATTAGCGGCCTCACTAGTCTCACTGTTGAACAGCAGCATCAACATGCATGAAGGATTGACTGACAATGAACTACAGTGTTCATGAAGGAGCATGTCGATGAGGTGTAGCTGATTGATTTGTTTCTTATGTATAAGAGGTCAATAACACCGAGGGACATCCTTTAGCAACATGGGCACTTGGTAGTGGGATTGATTTTGGTGATGATGATGAATAATATGTAATTAACTAGTGTGTGTTTGTTTGGCTTCACGTACTGTATGTGTGTGAGAAATCAGAGCAGAAGGGAGTGCTGATTAAACACAACATTTGCAGAGTACCATGAGCCTAAAAAAGTATATGACGTTACATCCTAAAACAAAAAATACTTTCAAAACAATTCAATGAAAGAAATCCCATTTTCAAAGCAGCCTCAACAGAGAGAGGAACGATTGAAAAAAACAATTCATTCCTCATTCATCCGCAAGAAATCCTCCTTTTCTTTGATTGATTGGATAGGTCTGATTATCTTCCTCTAATGAATTCAATAAAACACTCAGATCTTAATTGATTTGTCTTGGCTTGAACTCAAACGTATAATCCTGCTGTAATTATAATAAAATCTGCTTGCCGCCAGATCCGTTGCCATCTGTTCTTTTTGACTTAATATCTTGTTTTCTTTCTTCCCTCCTCCCTTCTTGTCGGCAGGGTTTTGAGGACACAGTCTCTCGAATGGTATTATAACAACGTGAAGAGTCGCTTCAAGAGGTTCGGCAGCGCCAAGGTTCTGAAGACTCTGTACAGGAAGCACATCATCGAGAGAGGAGCGCTCTCCGATCTGCCCGGTAACTCGCTCACTTTCTAATCAGACCTTTGTTACACTGCCAAGCGTTTGTTTGATATCTTTTAATCAATCTCATTTGCATAATTCTGATTGCAGAGCAGCCTTGTGTCTCAGTGCAATGTGTCACGTTTTCATAAATGCTGGTTTGAGGCTTTACGTGGACATTTGGAGGAAACCCTGTCTCACTTGATGTATGTAGAAACAAAGCTTTTCAAACACACGCATCCCGGGTTAAGCACTTTTATTTACCCATGTATATTTGATGTGGGAAACCCCCTTTACTCCACGGCTGCAGATTGATTTTGCAAATGCTCTTGTGTTTGAACTGGAGTCGGTGATAGTGACAGGCTCCTTCTCGTCCTGCATGGTAATCCCCGCGGGGCTCAGGCCACTTTGCGTCCTCTGGGAGTTGTTCCTGCGCCGCGCAGCTTTGATCCAGATAACATTGTTTTGCCCCGGCTGCAACATGATCGGTCTGCTTCTGTCGCGGGATACAAGGCATTATTTAAAAAAAATACATGGGATTAAAAAGATGCAGAGCGGATAAATCAGGCCAGACTTTGGGCAGGAGTGGATCAGGTTAGAATGAGGGCATGTTGAGGGACACAATGGACGTTTATTTCATCTGTAATGTATACGTTTGTAGGCCTGTTTTAAAGACAAGAAGAACCACCACAAAGTCAAACAATGCATTGAAATATAACAAGCTGCCTGCGAAAGGAAACGATTATAATAATAACAGACAGCACGTCTAGCCAGCATATATTCACAGGATCAAATAGCCAGATTTGGCTCGCTGGGAATCTGAAAATATGTTGGTCAGAAAGAGGCTTTAGTCTAATAACATGATTTGTTGGTTCACATCCGTATTGTCCCGTGAGAGGGATTTGGAAAACAGGAAACACTACAAGGGTGCAGACCTTTCCATTATTAAAATATTGTGTGTGTCCGCCCTGTGATTCAGATCCGCTCCAACATACTTCTGGGCTTTTGAAAGGTTTAATGCTTCGGTTGTTTTTAAAAGCGTAACTGTGTGTATTAGTCATATCCTGCAACAAGGAAGACGAAACTAAAGGGATACAAATGCAATAATAGCTTAGTTTGTTGACATTTTAGAAAAGTATTTTACTTAACTTTACTAACTTGATGGTAGCTTCATCTCTGGTGTGTGAGTGGACAAACATCTCTCCATCAATCATCCATATTCCTGATGTCCTCTTGTCTCCTCTCCTCACCTGTCCTCACTTGTCCTCCTGTCCTTTCCTTTCTTGTACTCTCTTCTCCTTCCCCAATTATTGTTCCTTCCCTTTTCTTATTCCTTTCCTTTCATTTCATTTCATTTCCTTATTTATCTCCTCTCTCCTCTCCTCTCCTCTCCTCTTCTCTTCCTCTCCTCTCTCTTCCTCTCCCCTCCTCTCCTCTCCTCTTCTCTTCCTCTCCTCTCCTCCTCCTCTCCTCTCCTCTCCTCTCCTCTCCTCTCCTCTCCTCTCCTCTCCTCTCCTCTCCTCTCCTCTCCTCTCCTCTCCTCTCCTCTCCTCTCTCTTCCTCTCCTCTCTCTTCCTCTCCTCTCTCTTCCTCTCCCCTCCTCATCCTCTCCTCTCTCTTCCTCTCTCTTACATCACTGGATGGAGGAGGGAGGATTATTCTCTGCTGGTCTCTCACTCGGCTCACATGAGCAGATTAAAACTCTTCCAATTCTCAAACGCTTGCATTTGGTGTGTGTGTGTGTGTGTGTGTGTGTGTGTGTGTGTGTGTGTGTGTGTGTGTGGTGTGTGTGTGTGTGTGTGTGTGTGTGTGTGTGTGTGTGTGTGGTGTGTGTGTGTGTGTGTGTGTGTGTGTGTGTGTGTGTGTGTGTGTGTGTGTGTGTGTGTGTGTGTGTGTGTGTGTGTGTGTGTGTGTGTGTGTGTGTGTGTGTGTGTGTGTGTGTGTGTGTGTGTGTGTGTGTGTGGTGTGTGTGTGTGTGTGTGTGTGTGTGTGTGTGTGTGTGTGTGTCATAGCCTATCAGATTGAAATGAAAGCGATATATTGGAGCTGTCAAAACATGATTGAATTTAAATGTGTTTGGATGAAAATGCCCTTTTTAAAGCTCTTCTGTCAAGTGTTTCAACAAGCGTATAATGGCAACAGATTAGCGTGATTAGATCAGGAACGTCTCCTGCATTTAAATGAACTGATAATGAGATTTCACTGAAGGAAGTGAATCAGCTGTAGATTGGTATACAAAATAAATGAGATAAAGATGTTGCTCATTAACAAACTAATGTTGCATCATCATCACTTAGTCTACTGAGCGCCAACAAAAGAGCTTTTATATTTGATCACGCTGCTCTGCCAGAGTCTTAACACCTCATGCAGGAACAGCAGCCGCAGGAATGTCAAACATTTCCATATGTGGAATATAGGCGGCCTCTAATACGCGTGCTAGTAAAGTTCAGTTTTTTATTATCACGTGGCGCCGATGCTCGTGAAATGAATTCTGTAGGAAGTGAAGTGGCGGCTGATGTGACAGCAGTGAGGGAGATGTGACCGTTTTGCATCCATCACGTTCCCCAGAGAGAGAGAGTGACCTTCAGACCGACAACACAGAGACATTTGTACTTTCCTGTCAAACATCTGCGCTACCAGGCAGTGATGCGGCTGTGCTACTGATAACCCTCCGCCGGGGGACTATGTGTCCGAGAGGAGAAAGAGATTCAACCAGTTAGATAACTCATCACTGTACCCTGTATGCAAGGGCTGGTTTGCCTTCACTAACTGTACGGAGGCTCAGTCACTGGTACATTTTTATATACAAAGCCATGTTAGGGAAACTTCCATCCTACATCTGCTCCCTGATCTCACGGCAAATTGTAAGTGGCTACTGCCTGAGATCGAATGCTGTAGTTTTATTAAATGTGCCAACTGCTAGGACTGTCTTAGGGAAGATAGCTTTTAGATGCGCAGCTCCTCTGTCTTGGAATAGTCTGCAAAAGGAATGGAAGCTAAACAATCTGGTGCCACTAAATGTTTTTAAAGCTCGGTTGGATACTACTCAATCGGAAGCTATTGGTACCTGCTCATGTGGATAGTTATGTAAATGATGCTGTATGATGTCCTTTTTGTTGATCTGTTTATGTTTTAATGTTTCATGTGGAACCTACTTGAGCAGGTCTCCCTTAAAAAGAGATCAATGATCTCAATGGGATACACCTGGGTAAATAAAGGTTTGAAATGAACCAGAGTTGGAGGAAGAAGTAGCAACTTTATCATTCCTGTCGGTATATACAGTATATAAATGCTAACTCCTATACACAGTAAGTCTGAATACATACATGCAAACACACTTTTTTTATGCACAGAAGAGGATGGGATGTTTTACAGCAACAGAGAGCATTGTGGGGGTTTGTCACCTCTCCAGTACACACTGCTTACTCTTTGTCTAATCGGGACTTGAACCAGCGACCCTTCGGTTCCCATGCCAAGATCTTGTACTTTAATAAGTAGAAATACCACAGTGTAGAGATCCTGCATTCAAAATCTTACTAAAGAATACGTATAAAGCTTAAAAATATACATTTACTACTCAATATGACCCATTCAAAAATGATATGTAAAGGTGGAGTTAATTGGATGTCTTTATGCTGTGTAGCTTGTTAAATAGGTATAATGGTTGATCATAAATCATATCAGTAATCTGAATCTGCATACTGTAGTAACTCAATGTTTAAGTTAATGTTTTGAAGTAAAAGCACATTATTTCCTTAGTGTCTGTGACCATGGACTTAAGAAGGAAAATATCAGGAAATCTATTGCACTTTCTTTAAAGCGGCTGAATTTCCCTTTTTTTAAAAATCTAATTCGAGTAGCTCATTAAGTGGACGTGCAGATGCCAGGCACTGATCCGAGGAACTATTACATTAGTAATTAATGCCTTGGCTGCAGTATGGCATGAAATGAAACGCTTGTGTTTACTCATGCATTAATGCTTCCTGAACACACTCAGCCTTTGGTGCACATGTCAACGCATTAAATTAAGATTAGAAATTAGATTTGAAATTAGATTTGAAATTAGATTGCTGTGTGGTTGGGGTAAAAGGGTAAAGTAAATTAAGCTTATTTATAGAATAATAACATCACTGCAAATGTCTGAACACATTATTGGCGTTATTAGGATTGAATAATTGTTTACAAGGAAGAAATCAACACGAGGTCATTAACTCAATGTATTCACTGAGTTAGATTAGGAGATTGATACGACTGTAATGTCTTTAGGCTTTCCTACATTTCTGAAGCTACCACCAGCTGCTACTTTTCTTTCTTAGACTGTCTCCTTTGTTGAATCTTTACAAAATCAAAGTATAAGAACAGCACATGGTTGTTTTCTGGGTGACAACACTTCAGGTTTTTACACTTTAGGATTCGTACTGATCAACAAACCAGGGATTTCCTCCGACCCATTCGAGCTCACAGTTGTCCCCTGGTTACTGTTTTCGTGCTTAACTAATCTTCATATTTTTGACAAGTTAGTGAATATGTTTACTTCCTTAAAGAGTGTTTTATTTGAAGACATGTCTCACTCACTATACTCTTATGTTTAGATTTGGCTGTACACTTGATCCAGGAGGTATTATGTTTATTTCCCTCGTGATATATTGGCACCGACACGCTGGCTAATACCTTTTAATTTGTATAATGCCTCAGCCATTTAAAAATCTCCATCACTGTATTTTTGTACATCACTGAAGTCTGGCTTCATGGTAAACCATCATAACATCCTCCATGAAATTCAACATGATGAGCCCTTTATGAAGTATCAAAAGCAGGAATGAGGATGATATTTCCTCCGCTTTTTATTTCTTAAATCTCATTCATTTCAAACAGGGATTACTTTTTCCTGCCTTTTGTGTTTGCTGTCACATCCCTCAAAGTGTTTGTCGCTCTCTTCTCACCTATCAAATAAGACGACAGCGACTCGAGAGATTCGACTCAAACACATTATAACCTTCAGACCCGCTGATATCT